AACAGACCTATGCAATAGAATGGGAACTGTGGCAAACTGGACGAAGGAGCATTGCCATTCCACTCCAGTAGACTGCTTCCACAGAGGAAGGAGAGCTGAACGTCACTACATCTTTCAAGAAAAACGGGGTGACTTCATTTGCCTGTAACAGTCACTGCCTTTTGGAGGGTAGCAAGAAATCAAACCTTTCAATAAATCATGGGAGTCAAACAAAAACAGATCTACAGCCCTTGAGTCTGACATGCTGGCTTGGTAGTAAATTTCTTGCAGAGTAAGCATGAGGACCCAAGTTCAGATCCCCAGAGCCCTTATACAGAGCAGGGTGTGGGGCAAGCATCTGTAGTCTGAATGCTGGAAGGTGGGAACAGGAGGGTTTTGGAGACTGCCAAGCCAATCAATCTAGCTACATAAGGGAGTTGTGGGTTCAACAAGAGACAGACTTAAAATAATAATAATAATAATAATAATAATAATAATAATAATAATAATAATAATAATGTGTGGTATGACAGTGGTGAGAACAATATGCTGGGTATGTCCCCAAGTCATTGTCCCATCTTGTCCCCAATCTGAATTAGCAGACTAACTACTTCAGAATCCAATGTGGGCACCGACAGCTTCTATCTAGCAAGAGAATGTAACCCACAGGCTGTCATGAGAGCTGAAATTTCCACAGAACACAATGCAAATAAGGAAGGGGCCCCTCTTCTCCTAAAGAGGGACATCTCATTTTTGTAAGTTGCGCCTCAGAGTGAGGAAGGAGAAGTGGAGTTGCCTCACATAGCAGTGAGTTGTCCTGTCACGGGAGGGTCATCCCTTCTCTAGTTAGTAAACAACTTCAAAACCCGCATCCCTCTCTTTGTCAGCAATCAGCCAGGGGAGCTGCAGAGCCTCCTCTGACACAGAATGCTTCACTAAGGGAAAGCTATTATTCAATGCTTGTTATTCAGGGCCCTCCTGGTGAATTCTGCTGCCCCATGGAGATTTCCATTCAGCAGATCTGTGCACTCTTGGACACTGGCATGGCCCATCCAGGACAAAGACCCATTTGTTCTCTGAAAAGACTTTCAACTGTTTTTCTTTTTTCCAATTCCCAGTTTCAAATGTTATATTTTTGTACTTTACTTGAGCATGCTCAACTTTTAAGATTAAATTAGTTGTCATTTTAGGCTTCGTGTCATTATCTGCTATCATGGCTCATCTAATGGCTTCTGATGTATGTTCCAGAGAGGTTGTATTGTGTTTGGTTGTGAGCCTAGCCTTTAACAGCTAAGCCATCTCTCCAGCCCCAGAGAGGTTGTATTGTGTTGTAGTGTGTGTGTGTGTGTGTGTGTGTGTGTGTGTGTGTATGTGTGTGTATTAAAATTACACAGTGATTTTAATAGTATTAGTCATAATATCTTATATACTCTTAAGAGCACATTCTTAATATTTTTTAAAGCATACTTATTAGCGTATTTTTTACAGAAGGCCAGGGGTGGCAATGGCAGATCCATTTTGTGGGTGGGGAATTTGAGACACGGAAACATTATGTAACTTCTCAGTGTACCTTCCAAAACTATCCTGCGCTCACCTGTCACTTACACCCTCAACTAGACTCCAACCAGCAAATCTAAAGTTGCATCCTCTCTTGCTTCTTCCATATAATCCGTCCTCCACACTTCACCCAGACTAGTCTCCCCAAATGGAAGTCTGTGAATTCACATCTCTGCTTAGAATGTATCCAGCTTCTTGCTATCCTGTTTGGAGTGAGACCTACCTTGCTTGATTTGGCCGATGAGATTCTGGGTGATGTGGTCCCCTCCTCCTCCTCTGTCCTTGCATCCAGCCCTCCTCTGCTTTACCTACTTCAGCCACCCTGGCTTTCCAACTGGGCCTTCTATACATTGCACTTGATCCCCACACACCTATACACTAGGTCCCTCTGCCAGAAGTATTTCTGTGTCAAGGGACCCATCTCAGGACCTTTCCCCCCCCCCCCCAGAGAAATCTCTCCTCAACTCCAAAGGGCTGAAGAGAAGGTTCGGTGGTTAAGAGCCTAGCACCCACACACTAGCTCACAGTCATCACTAAGTATGGTTCCAGGGAATCTGATGCCATCTTCTTGCCTCCAAGAGTACCAAGCCCATGATGAAGCACACACATACATGAAGGTAAATATTTGCACACAAAAATAAAAGTAAATACATCTAAAAAAAAAAAAAAAAGGAGGAGATGAATCCTCTGCTGGCCCCCTGCTATTTGCCCAACACATTTCTACACTTTAAATCCGTATCGATAGTGCTGTACACGGCGCCTGGCTTTTCTTTAAAACTTTTATTACTGTCTGAACTCACTTTGGTCACTCCTTGGTTTTTGCTCATCTCTTGACTCCAGAATTCTTTGATCCTAAAAAAGTGTATCTGACTTACTGTTCCATAGTCACACCCTGGTACACAGTAGCAGGCATCCATCCATCCCTCCATCCGTCCATCTGTCTGTCTGTCCGTCCTACCTGTTCTCTGTTCCAGAGTTCAGGACTAAATCAGATTTTGCACATGTTTTGCAAGTTCTCTACCACTGAGCTATAACACTCCCCCCTACACTCACTCACACACACACACACACACACACACACACACACACACCTGTGGTTATTTTTATTGAGACATGATCTTTTTGTGTAATCTAAGCTGTCCTTAAACTCACTACATAGCCCAAGCCTTGAACATGTGAGATCAGCCTGTTTTAGTCTCCCTAGCACTGCAAATACAGTTGTCCCAACAACGACATGTTTTGACATGGACAAATAAAGGAATGAATTAACAGAACTTTTGCTAGACCAATTAATTCAGTTGAGTGTTCTCACAGCAACTTCCCTCCTCAGCTGCTGAGTTTACTTAAAAACAAAAGCCACGCATGCCTGTGTGGGTCTGTTCTGTTGCTGTATTATTCGTTACTTTCATTAATGGGTGGTTCACACTTCATAGAGAAAGGCAACGGAGCCTTCTGTCCATGCCAGCAGACCACAGAGCTTCCTCAGAATCCTGAGGCATGAGTTAGAGCTAAACACTCCTTCCTTCAATATCTTTCTATTTAATACTTTATCATCCGGGCTTTACTTAATGGAAATATCTTTGTGCTTCTCAGGGTCAGTGGGTCAGTTAGGCTCATAATCATGAATCATAGGAGAAAAAAAAAAAAAAAGACATGTTTAAGATGCAGAGTGCATGGGGTGGGAATAGGGAGCTCCTGAGAGATGGCTCTGTGATTAAGAGCCCTGGCTGCTCATCTAGAGGACCTGCATTCAGTTCCCAGTACTCACGTGGCAGCTCACAATCATCTGTGACTTCAGTGCCAGGGGATACCTGGTGGCCCTCCTGTGCCCCTCTTAGGCACTAGGCACACACGTGCTGTCCAGTCTTAGAGGCAGCATCCAATATACGTAAAATAAAATATTTTTAAGAATATGGCTGGGAGTGCAGCTTTGTGGGTAGAGTGCTTGCCCAGCATGCCCTGGGGTTGCTCCCCAGTGCCTCATAGAGCCGGTGGGATGCCTCAGGCCAGTGATCCCACAACTCAGGAGATAGAGACTTTTCACATCAGAATGGAAAGATAGCAACAATAGGCCCCCCTTGAAGAAGTCTTTCCCAGGAACTCCCAAGTACCCCAGGCAGTCTCAAAGTGGCTGTTGAATTGCTTTTGTTTACAAACAAAACTAGGTGGGGGAGGGGTTAGTTAGGTCCCTGGAGTTCCTGATGAACAGTGAGTAGACACAGTGGGGAAGAGTTCAAAGCCAGCTACCTGGCTGTGAGAGCAACCTGGACCAGCCCTCAGCACCTCACAGGGGATTGATTTCTAATTGCTTAATGAGCTGCTGACTCATTAACACCCACTGAATGCACTCACATGCATTCAGTGGCTCAGTATGTTGAGTCCTCTGCCTCAGTGTCACCCATGCATCATCATCATCGTAAGGACAGACCCTGGTACCTGTTCAAGGATGGTATCAGCACATGGTGAGGGAAGCTTCTGTGTGCAAATGTCCAGGGAAGGGAAATCACTCTCGATGCCTGACTTCAAGAGGCTGAAGGCGGCACACCAAGGATGCTGAATTAACAAGCTCTCTCTTTCATAAGGCTACCAGGGTCCCCTCTGGGAGAAAAAATTCCCGGGTGCTGACAGCTCTCCGGTGCCCTGTTGCCAGAAGGTGTTCTCTCTTTGTTTTGACTCTGGTGCCCTGATCCAGGGGATCAATGTGACTCCAAGATTTGCTTGCCAGCCTCTGGCATTGTGCTTGCTTCAGGGAATACATTTTCTCCCCTCCTGCTCAGACACAAGTCTCCCGGTTCTGCCTTCTCATTTGGGTCAAAGATAATTTGTGCAAGTCTGATTTGGTAATGTGTGCTGCCCAAACCAGAATCTGTGTGTCCTTTAGAGGTGACAGCTCCCGTGTGTGTATGTGTAAGAGCCTGACACACCTCTCCTTCCTTCCCTCGACCTGGCAGTAATTCCCATGGTTCCAAATGAAAACCTCAGGATCATTTTTTTTTTTTCTGGTTTTGCTTGGCTTTGTAAAAAAATTCAGCCTTAAGGGTGGGCTAACCAGCATTTTATCTGGCCAGCCGCAGGATGCTCCAAGCAGGGGTGATATTGCTTTATTTTTATTATTCTATTCCCAGATTCCTTAAGTCTGAGCTATTCCTCACAAGAAAGTGTGCATGAGCTGAGCGTCCCAGAATGAGATCTACAGACAAAACATTTCCCTGAATGCTCTAGGTTCATCTGCCACCTGGTCGGAACTGAATTTTTAGGGTGGCTTTCTCAGAAGCAATCCCTCACCTTCCCTCAACAACTCTGGATTCCTATTCCTGGGTGCCTACGAGGTCAGTTCAACAGAAGGGCGCTGTGGTTCCACCTCGCCCTCTCTGCTGTCCTCCCAGTCTGCTCTCCTGTGTCCCCACCACAGTCTGGTGACAGCACCACAAGCTCAGGACCCTCGCAGTTCCGGGACTCCTTACCTAGGCACCGCGCTGAGTTACTCCCGGGTACCCGGGGCCCTGGGCGCACCGATGCCACCACCAGCAGCGCGAGTCAGATCCAAGTGCTTCTCACAGCCAACACCGCAGGCCTCCAGACAGTTTTCTCCCAGGACTGGGATATCTCTGAGATGGGCTGAGCAAACGCCTAAGATCTATCCTTAGGCTCGACCCTCCCCTCCCGGGGTTGCTGTGGAGGAGGGACAGGGGAGGAGCATGTGGCCCAGCCTCCTGCCTGTTCTGAGCAGCTGCGGCTCGGGATCACACAGCGCTCGCCCCCGGGCGGGCCACTACCTGGACCTTCTCAAAATCCCACGCGTGGATCCTGCCTGCCTGAAGTTGTGATGGGCTCCTAGGTTCTTAGACACCCCGGCCTCACCAGGTCTGTTACTCGGGGAGCCACACCCCCAAGCGTATCTTGCTAGTTTCATCCTGTTCTCCAAATCGACAAAGTTCACTGAATCGCTGAGCACCGTTTTGGAATCTGAAATGTTCTGCACAGACCGCATTTTGATACTTTGTACCCGGAGTCCCAGTTCACTCCTTGTGTACACTCTGTCCCAGACTGGAAGGCCTGCCACTGCGTAGCCTTCTTGCTTTACTGGTTTCTGTCCCAGCTCAGTCTAACTCAGTTATTAGCGCTTGTGGTAAAGGTATTTCTCTCCAAGGAGAAACCTATTCCCCCAGACATGGGACTTTTTGTTTACCTCCCCAGGCTCCGCAGCTTTACCCCTCCCCACCTCGCTCATTAAACATGTTTGGGGGAACAGAAACTTAGAATATTCTCGAGGACCCCTCCACCGCAGTGTTAGCAAACAAGGGTGCTGTGTCGGGGCGGTGGCAGTTGGAGAGTAGAAGAGAAATTTGGATGTTTGACTAGCAGAGGTGCATACAGGTATGCAGAGAGCTACAGGGCTGCAGCTTTAATGGTTCCTCTGATTTGTCCCCAGACCCTCTCGCCACTCCCCCCCCCCCCCCGTGTGTGGCCTTTAAAGCGATACAGTTGTTCATTCTGGCTCCTTTAAGGTAACCCTTCGCCTATACTCCTGTTAGGAGCACCAATAAAAAACTCATTGGTTTACTAAGATAGATATTGGGGAAATTGTTGTATGGATCGGGCTGGGTTCCCTTTCTGGGGTTTATTGACACATGCTGCATCTCCCCCACAAAGCCTGTTTTTCCCTAAAATGCCATCCTTTAATTTTAAAGATTTCTTCTGAAACCCATTTTCCAATAATTTTTAAACATCTTTGTGGCGATATTGTGCTTATGATCGAACAAATAAAACTTGCCTGGAGATCAGGGAAGCAAAGCGGCCAGCCACTTGAGAATGCTCGCCTCTACCAATGCTCAGAGCGAAGGGATCCTGTCCTCAGATTGCATTTCCAGATTGCACTGCTCTCCACCAAACCTCAGAATCCCTCAGCTCCTGTGTTCTCCTGCTTTGTATTCCTCTTTAGTGCTGGGATTAAAGGTGTGGGATCCCATGTGCTGCCATCACCTTTGTATGAGCTCTGTTTCTCTTTTAGACTGGATTAATTCCATGCAGCTCATTGTGGCCTTGAACTAAGGCAGCTCCGTCTGCCTCTATCTCCTGAGTGCTGGCATTAAAGGTGTGTACCACCACTGCCTGGCCTCTATGGCTAACTAGTGTGACTGCTAGGACTAAAGGTGTGTGCCCAACACTGCCTGGCCTCTACGGCTAGGTAGTGTGGCTAGCTTTGCACTCTGATCTCGAGGCAAGCTTGATTTGTTATATCACAAACAAACACATCTTCATCTAAAACTAGAAAGTTGAGGGAAAGTTGGCTGAAATGTGTATGTAGTATTATAATATATTTTTGACATCTTTTAGATAGATTGGATTTCATTTAGTCCTTATGAACTTTCAATGATTTTCTGCAGGAGAGTGGAGAGACAGTGTGGAGTAGCCATGGAAATAGCAAACACAATAACTGAGAACTACTTCTAAGATATTTATGGAGGTCTGCAGATACCAGTGTAGGAGTAGGGCATTTGGCTGGTATGTATGAAGTCCTAGATTCAGGCCTCAGTACCACAAAATAACATTTGTGGAGTTCAAGCAACTCAAACCCAAAGAAACAAGCAAGGATGAGGTATGGCTGTAGCTTGAATAGGGAGAGGGAAACAAGGAGGGTAAGAACCTGGGGGTGACATGGGAATCTTCCTGGATATGTGGGAAGCTTTGTAAGTCCACATGGTTGATGATAGTTAAACTGGCTTCCTAGCAGTGGAGCCCAGCCATGTGGTGATAACACCTGTGCTGGTGGCATCATCACCAGGTGCTAGAGCCCCACCATGCTGTGCTGCACCTTTCCTGGAACCAAGCTCTCAGCACAAAGGGACAAAGACAGGAGATAGAGGAAGGGGGAGAAGGGGGAGGGAATGAAAGAGAGGGGGCAGGGGTGTATGTCCTGGAGTGAGACAAAGGGCTGCCTCTGGATAGAAGGAAACGAGGTCTATATGAAAATGGTAGTTTATAAAGGGAAAGTTTGTGAGGTGTTTAATTTTAATAGTGCATCTTAATTAAGTGAGCCAAAGGGGGCTTTTGGTTGCTGAATGTCAATACTTTGATCGCCGGACCTTGGTAGTCAGCTTCAGGAGGAGAAAGTAGCCATATAAGGGAATAGACTTTGGGGTTTAGCTCTAGGAATGTAATCTAATAGTTTTTAGCAAGGTAGAGAAAATGGGGAGAAGGGCAAGACCTGCCAGTATCATGTTTGCCAGACTGTGACTGGCCAGAGTCCCTTCAAGGGAAGGGCCCCTAGAAAGGGGGAGGCACATTAAGAAAATTCAGAGTTGACAGTAACTTTAAGAGAAATGTTTTTATAGTCAATAAGTAATACCCATAGATTAATGTGTCTCTCAACCCTTAGCAGAAGCTTCAGTTTGCAGCACATGGCGAACAACAAAGTGAACCATGACTACGCAAGGGGCAGAGAATGCTTAGCCCTAACTGGAAATTCTACTGCACCCTCTCATCGCAAGGCTCAGGGATCACTGTGGAATGGGGATGGGGGAGCAAACAAATTGTAAGAGCCTGATGTGCAAGATGAATACAAGAAGGCAGTGTCCACCGGACGCAACAGTTGACAGAGTGCACAAGCTCCCTGAAAGTTCAAGCCTCGTGGAATCTGGACATGGAGAAGTGGGGTAGACAAGAAGTCCCTCCCCTAGCGGAGGAGTTACTGTCAATTGCTAGCTTCTGAGAGATGGAAAGTCAGCTTTCTTTAAGAATGGTGCCCACTGGTAGATGATCAATGGAAGGCCACACATTCATGGTTATATGGGAAGGACAGATAGATTTGATGCATGAGGAAAAAAATGATACAAAATTAGGTGGTAGGAAAAGGAGAGTGGATCTGGGGAGAGTCACACAAAAAAAAAAAGCTGAATAAATTTAATCAAAATATAAATTAGGTATTCTTCCATAAGCCTGATGTGGGGTATTCACCAGAGAAAACTGCTTGGTCTTGGGTTTAAGCCAATAGAAAGTCTTTAAAAGCTGGCCAGCAACTACACTGGATGTTCTAGATCCCAGCACAGCATTGAGTATTTCCCATGGTGAGACTTTAAGTACAAAAACCATGTTCAGGGTTGACATACTCCAGTTAACAAGAACAGTTACCCAGAAGACAAAAAGCAAGGTCAGCACATCTAAAAACTTTCCCAGAACTATGGACTTTGATGGAGTAGGCCTTTGTTTTAGTTTTGGAAGGTAGTACTGTCTACATGCTGATCCTATGGCCTGAATGCTACTTCTGTCATAAAATCAGTTATGCTAAGGTCTGGGGACCTACTAAGTTCTAGGGCCCTGTTAAGAGCCCAAATCCATCAGACATTTATTTGACAATTTGGTACAATATTACAGACATGTTTCAGACATAAATGTAGTAATTAAAAGCATAGAGCAGCTGGGTAATGGTGGTGTACACCTTTAATCCCAAAACTGTGAATCTGAGTCCAGTCTGGTCTACTGAGGAAGTTCCAGGACAGTCATGGTTACACAGCGAAAACTTGTTTCAAAAATGGATGGATGGATGGGTGGGTAGGTAGATAGATGAATAGATAGATGATAGATGGATGGATAGATAGATGATAGATGGATATACAGTTGTATGTATGGATGGGTAGATAGATAGATAGATAGATAGATAGATAGATAGATAGATAGACCGACAGTTGCACAGAGCAAAGAAACCTGGACTTGGATCCAGCTCACTGAGTGTAGCTCCAAGACCTTGGGCAAGTTTGACAGGCATTGAATCTCCCAGTTTCCTAATCTATAAGCTGAAAATAATAGTAGTTCCTGAATGTTCATACTGAGAATTCAAAGGGATAATTCAGCCAAGGGTAAGGCCAGCTTTGGCTACAAAGCAAGGCCAGTCTGGGTCATATGCATGAGACTTTATCTCAGAAAATAATTAAACAAACAAACAAACAAACGTACATACAGATAAATAGAACAATATATATAAATGCTCAGAACAATATTTGGCCAGTAAAGTGAGCTCTTGATAGATGTTAACTATTTATACATATAAGGAAGGCATACATATTCATGAAATACATAGGGGAGCTAGTTTATTTATAAGCATATATGAATTTCTAGGAAGAACTGAAAGATACTGATGTTGTCCGTGGGCAAGGAGACTATTCACAGAGGCAGTGCGATAGGAGTAGCTAAATAGAATGTCAAGTCAGAGAATGGAGCCTGAGTGCCATGATTCAAAGGTGAAGCAATGTCAGAGGACAAGAAGTCTAGAACAGTAATTCTTCTGAGTTTCTAAAATAGAATCTCCTATTCAAAATTTCAGCCAGGTCTAAGGTTAGTTATCCAACACCAGGCTTGACATTTGTATTTTACTGGCAATAGTATAGCAAGTTTTGTGGATTTCATTTTCTCCATTCATTTAGGAGCTCCAGGACTGAGGATGTCAAAACAATTTTATGATTTCAGTGGGGATGCAGGGATACATAGACCACCTAACTGTTGAGAATCCCCTTGAGTATACCCTTGAGAACACCCCTGCCAATTCAAAACATAGAAGCAGCTTGTCAAGTTCAAGGCATTGTCATTGTGACTGAGGCACCTAGCTCTC